CTGACATTTTACGATTGGACGCCTCCTTGTACGTCTTCATGTGCAACGTGGTCATTTTCACCGTATTTTCGTCGAAAAACCAACTCTAGCGCCCAAACGGTGCAAGATGAGGCAAACGGACGAAATTTTAGTCCCAAGGGCTCTACTTTCACGAGTTACCCCTTAGAAAACCATAAAAAAATTTGATTTTCTACTTTTTGGACCAACCCCTTTTTCTTTGTTACCCCTTTTCACCCCCTTAGGGATGGTTGCTAGGATTTGCACCAGGCGTTTCGTTGTCCAGGAGTGACCCCTAAGATACCCTGAAATTTGCAGACCTCTAGCTCATCTCCTTCCTCTTACACGGACGACGGACAGACAGACAGACGGACGGACGGACACGAGAGCGGTTGCATAAGCCCGCTTTATTGCTTTTTTAAAAGCAGAAGGGCGGGCTAAAAACAATGTACAAAGCGTTGCTTCGTATAAATAGAAAGCCACGAGCTTCGTAATTTAAAACACAGGGCTAAGAAAGAGACTTAGAGAGCCCTAAACAGGCCCTAAACAGGCCACAGAGCCTATCAGTTTTCGTACAGCTCAAGTAGGTAGCTACCTACGGTACTGTCTGGGAGCGCAGAGAGCGCATCGGTGTGGCGCACAGTGGTAGATTCGGCCTCAATATTGCATCGTGACAAAAGTCAAAAATGTTAACTTTAGAAATAACGGACTTTTCTTTATGATATCGGTAGATGACACCGAAAGTGACCATTTATCTTCACTTTCACTTCACTTCGATCGCCTGCGTTTCGGTTAGGACGTGTTGAAACCAACCTTGGCGCTTGACTCCGCCCCACTCGCCATGTCAGTCGCTTTGGTAAAATGACATGGTCTATACGGACTGGAAGTGACATTTCTTGGTATTTAAAATTCGGGCAACATTTTCAGTTTTATTAATCTTGTCAAAGACTTGAGAACATAAATAAATCATAAATCAAAAGTACAGATTTAGAGGTTGGGTGTCATCGTAGTTTCTTATTGAGTTATATCGGTTATATTTTGAGCTCCGCCGAGTTCCACTCTAACTCCTGCATGAAATGGAAGCTGCGACACCACACTCGTGAAACAAGTGTGGAATATTTGCACACCAAACGTGTGCAAGTTGTGATTTAGCACATTACACTCTAAATGTCAAGGACAATTTTTGTAACTAGCACCGGACTTCTGCGTGCATAACTGGAATCAGATACAATATTGTGACTTGCTAGTCACTAAATGTGTGTTGGTAGTTACAATATTGTATCTGAGCTAGTTATGCACACAGAAGTCCGGCGCTAGTTACAAAAATTGTCCTTAGACATTTAGAGTGTACATGGTGTTTAACTCGAGTTGCACACTTGCGTGGTGTGCAAATTTTAAACGTTTTGTAAACGTTCAAATCCTGCACACTTGGACACACACACACACACACACACACACACACACAGTTCTATGCTGTCAATATAGGGAACCATACGGTGTGCAGCTGCTATACGTTTCGGAAGTGTCGAAATTTAAATACCAATTGACGTATATAACATAGTTAGACACCACAAAGTGTCGAGAAAATGCACACTTGAACTTAAAGGTCGATTGACGTACAAAATTAAACACTGGTTTTACCGGTGTAGTTAAAGTTGAAAACAGGTGCCACAAGCTGCCATTTTGGCGATGCAGCATTAAAAAATCACCCTTTTGGGGGGCAAGTGCCCAGCTTGCTCTCCTGAAAAAGTGCCTCAACATGTAATTTTTTTTTTGTTCGAACACGCGAACACACTTCTAGCTTTGGCTGTACGGTGTTTATAGAAACAACCGAAAACTTGGCAATTATAGAAACGTTTTTGGTGGGGGGAGGGTGGGGGTCAGGGATGGGAAAAATTTAACTAAACTAGTTTCTGTAACTGTAACTAGTTACAATTTGTAGCAACTGAAACTGTAACTAGTTTCATTTTCAAACTA